CGGCGTAAGTCTGAACTATGCATTCCATTTCTTTCTAAAGGATAAAGGATAGAGCTCTAGGAGTTGATCAATCCTGAATGATCGACGTCATTAAATATCGTTGAAGGTGATTGAATGCATATCCGGCCTTTACAATAGCTCGCGGTGGTCCATCAATGTATCGATCAGCGCTGCTGTCCTCTCAGACAACTCTGGTACCAATTTGCTGACCCCGGAGGAATCGAAGGCTTGGTGAGCCGCGGGCGCGGGGATCGATCCCACGTGTGTGTTGCAGGGCGCCTCCAACCATTGCGCCACATGCGCCCTTTCTCATTTCTCGTTACGTAATACGAAATATTCACTTCATCACACTGAATAGTGTGTTCTGTAACGCTGAGCACTGCTTCGTCCCGTTAGCGAAACATGAGAACCATGAAATCAGAAAGAGCTCGTTGAAGTGTTATTAGGTTCTTCGACGTTCTTCAAGTCCTTCCTTTCTTTATGCTCAGCTTTGGCGGTAAGCGTTTTATCATGATCACTTCGCGAACATAGCTAGAGCATTCACAAGAATTCGCTTCGTCGAGCACAAGCGAGGCCACAAAAAAATTCCGTTATGAAACTCGTCTTTATCTTCAACTAGGTTCAACCAATGAACGATCTTTCCGTCGCACCTCCCCTAGAAGGTCAGCGTTTGTTCCACAATGCTTGTGTATGACGTTATGAGAACGTCATCGGCAAAGAGAAGATGAGTGAGTTCTACTCCCATGTTCTGTTATTTCCATTTTCGTGTGTTGATCTCGAAGGCAGCGTAAATTGATTTTTAAGAGATGATATCGCCATATTGGGCACTTATTTTACGTCAATGATGATGCCGACATCCTTGTAATATTGTGGAACTATGATTGTGAAGTTATGGTCCAAACAAATGAAGGTTATTAGTGTGCTGAATAGGGAAAGCATGAGAGTTCAGACTTTGAAGACCACTTCTACCTTCACTGATAGAATGTCTTCTTTACGTCGGTGAAGCTAGGACATAGCCTCAAACGTGACCTTTCATTCTCACAATACTTCTTTGTCCGACTGTGATCAAAACTGAACCCCTTTCGATATCCTACTTGCCAACTTGACTGAAATTGGTCAAGTAGTTTGCGGATTCAACTGGAAATGATGCGAACAGAAAGAATGCAGACAGAACAGCAGAACGGAAAATCCTTAGTTTCCAATGCCGTCTAGATCTATGCGTAATATCACAACTCTGCTTCTTTCCATTGACTAAGATTCTTGGGTTCTCACAAATAACATGGTAAATGCCGTAATTCAACTAATTCTACTACTGTTTTCTCTCTGAACTTTCTTTTTGCCACTATTTTTTGGAGATTTGCAATGTCAGGCATAAGTTGGTATTGTATACAGCTGATATTAGCATGTACACTCAAGACTTCCTGGAAAAGTCATCTTCTGGTAGCTTTGATTCTCTTGCCTTTCTAGCACAGTTGTAAAGGCGTTTGATGAACCGAATGATTGCTCATCGATATCGAACGGTAGCTTTTATACGTGTGCTAAATTATTTTAAAAAACCCACTCTACTACGATTTCTGGATTATCTTACCTGAATTTTGCTTTTTTATCTCCAAATTGTCCGAAAGAGAAAAATGTTGATACCACTACCATGGTGCTGACATATTTGCAAAACTCCGGACCGCAGGTAGGTCTGCAATGGGGCTTGAACACACTGTTACTCTTTCTGGCTGCTAACGGGTTCACCACCACACCATGCAGGTCCTTCATTTCGCCTTTCTGTCGGCTAGTTTTCTATCTACTAGTATCTAGCTACCTGTAGTACTAGACAGAAAACTAGCAGAGAGAAAAGCGAAACGAAAGACCCGGCTTGTGTGATGGTGAACGTGTTACCCCCGGTAGGCGTAGTAGCGTCTTCGATTCCCATCGCAGACGCCTGCGGTCCGAAATTTTGCACATATCTCAGCATCATTGTGGTTGTATCTCATTTGATAACCTGCCGTGAAAAAATGTAGTAGGAAATAAATAAAGTATTAAAAATGTTGAATTTGTGCGAAGGACGCAATGACTTAATTCTGTGTAAAAGTTTATTGTTAAAGGTGCACTGCGAAACACGCGTGCTGGCTCGCTCGATCCCACGTCCCCAGCTCACCAAGCGCCTCTTCCACCGGTGTCTGGGAGGATGGTAGCAGTAATTTGATAAAACGGTTGACCAGTTCAGAGCACTTTATGGATATATGTGCGTTCAATCATTCCTGCAATGCTTAGCGAAGACGAATACATGCCTCATCCCTCGGGAACTGACCAACACCCAGCGATTTATCCTTTATCTTGATTTAGCATTGCAAGCTCAAACCCATTAATCAACGCTCACTCTGGAAACACCGAGCTACTCTGTAGAGGTCGTCATTTTGTCGGTGCAAAAAAGATGTTTGGACCTCATTGTTTAAGTAAGCACATTTGTGCGCACTCTTCACCGGCGGCAGCCTTTGCGGTGTATACTTTTTTCAATAGTAGTACTCCCTTGCCTCAAAAGCGGTTTTTCCCGAAAAGAGGCTTTTGTAAATCACTATAGACAAAACATCTAATTTGGACGAGGATAAAAAAAGGTATGGGTAACCAAGCAAGCCAAGAAGGAGAAAACGTGTAGGGTGAAAGGATGAAATGCACTTAGTTCACTTTGCGCGTCCACGCATGCAACGCATGCATTGCATGCCGGGTCTTATCTACTAAATGGAGCTTTCTGGATATTCTGCCGTCTATTTGTGGTCAACCCAGCGACCATTTCTCCACACGGCGATGGTTGCTTCCAGAGGAACCTCCATATGAAAGTGTTTCTAAGAGTAGAGTCAACCATCATGCATAGTAGATGATAATCGCAGAACAAGGTTTATCGAGAATAAGGCATCTCAGAGCATCTTTAACCTTTCATTCAGTAGCGAAACAGTTTTAATTCTTGACAGCACAGTTATTCCTCAAATGCTTTGTCATTCATTCCTTCTAGTAGAGCACAAACTTTCTTCTAATCAGAGCGCTAACTAAAGCTGGTTTTGCACTTAAGCTTCTTTGCATTCTATTCTTGAGTGTTGCTATTTTGGTTCCGCATTCAGCACCTTGTTTGCTGGTATCTAAAAGCGCCTGTAGTGACTATTTCAATAGATAGGAAATAAAAGAAAATTTTCACGGCTTCTTTAATAAAGGATAAAGTTCTTGATCAATCCGTGAGGGATGCGCTGTGCATTCGACTTCATTAAGCATTGTTACAGATGACTGCGGGAATATTTGGCCTTTACAACGACTGGTGGTAGCCTACCGATGTATGCTGTTGAACCAATGCTGCTATCCTCCCAGACAAGACCGGTACCAATTTTCCCACTCCGGAAGGATGGAGAGCTTAGTGAGCCAGGGGTGCATGGATCGGCTCCATTTGTATCGCAGGGCTCCTCTTACTCCTGTGCTACACGCGCCGCCAGTGTTTCTTAACCACTTTTAATCTACATTGTTTTCTTCCTCATAGACGGGTTTGCGACTTAGTTTTGCTTGCATCCCAATATTCGCATTATTTTGTGCTACTTTCTTCTGGAATCGGTCTTTATATTAAGTTCTTATTTTATTTTTTTATTTGACCCATCTTCACGTCTGCTGTGCGGATCCCAGCACTTCTCACACTCAATTCGTTTCCTCGCATCCATTATCCACAAAGATCTTCCAGCATTACGTATAGCTTCGGTTCCTGCTTGAGGATTTTCATTTCATCTTGAATGTCGTAGAATGCTGGTCGAGAAATTCTCCCTGGAGTCCTGAGATATCCGAGCTGGCGCATTCCCAGTTGTGTTGCAGAGAGTGATTATTTCCCAGACAAGTCCGGCATCAATTTCCCGACCCCGGAGAGATGGGAGGCTTGGTTGGCCCGGAGCGGAATCGAACTGGAATCATGCTCGTAATGACACGTATCACTACCACTGTGCTATCCGCTCACTTTATATTAAGTTACGGACAAAAAAGGATAAAGCTCTCGGGTTGATGATATCCTGAAAGGGGATTCGCCGTGCATTCGCCCATATCAACCACTATTGATGTATTAATCGAGTGTTGGTACCCTCCAGGCAAGTATGGTACCACTCTTCCTGCCCCTAAAGGAATAGAGGGCTTGATGAACTCGAGTGCGGGATTGAACCAGCGAACAACGTGTGTATTGCAGCGCGCTTCTAACTACTGTTCTCTATGCGGCCCTATTCAGTTATGAGATACAAAAGATGGTTCAGTGGTCCGTCCGACCACATCTTATGATTTTGCCCCTCTGCCTCATTATATCGATGTCAACAGAGATCTAGGCGCAAAGCTGGCCGCTTGAGGGCGGACCTCCTCCGTTCAAATAGTGTTTGGTACCACCAGCATCCAATCTGAAGCCGGTAAGATCAGCAAATCTGGGGCGTGGATTGCCGAGCTCAGGTCAAATTCGTCAGTGCGATACGGTTCGGGGTACTTCACTGATACGACTGATACGCAACTCCATCCATTTCTCAAGTTTGATGTGATGTGGCAAAAACACTTCCCTACATTACTGTTAAGAGAAATCATTGCTGATCGAGAATTCAGCACAGTGGACAATTCTCACAACAGAACCAAGACAGTACTTGTCTTCTATTGCCCTAAAATGCACGTCTAATGAGAAACGGCTAGTTTCCAGGAGTTAATGGAACTTTTTCTCATATTCACACTTACTTCATGCAGAACTGCTTTTCCAGACTTGAAACATCCGCCCCTGAATCCAGAAACGCCGCCTCAATCCTAATAATACAACCCCAGTCTACTGTGAAGTAGGCGAAATGTTTATTGTTGGCACCGCAAATACACGATCCATATTTTTTTCACAATGTTGGGAAAGCTCGCATTCTAACAGTCTTCCATAAGTTCACGTCGGTGGCGCTTGTTCGTATCCTTACCCAACGTGTTAACAATCATGTTGGCTTCATACCTTCACTACGTGGAATTTTCGTCCAATGAGAGTGCACCATGTCCACCACGTCATTTCTGGTGCCGTGAGGAGCAGTCGCGTGAAGGATTTTCAGAATGAGAACCGACTTGCATTCCGTTGTCGTCGGCTGCCTTCGTGGATTCAAGGTGTGATTTCGAAGCGACGACTTCAAGACCTCTGCTTGGTCGTCGCGTTGTTTTCAAGTCTCCGTCGTTCTCAATCCGTATCGATCGTGTCGCTCGGTGGTCGGGTTCTTCTCTGGCCAGCTGCATTCTGCTCATGCACAAAGCGCTTTTTCGATTTTCTTCCTCAGTTCACTCGAATTTACTTGAGTATTCAGTGCTTTTCCTGTCGGGGCTTGTAAATCCATCATCCGAAGCCAGGTAGTCATGAGGCGTCTTCCTGAACGGAGTGTCCGTCGTAGGTGCCTTAGTGTAAGGCGAACTTGCGGTTGATCCAAATCAGATCATGTTTTGTGAAGTATCTTCGCAACTGATGAAATAACCTCTTCTTATTCCCACCTGATTATTCCTTCAAGTGGTGATCTTTCATGTGATGGTACTCCGTTTCGTTTTCAGGTTTGCGAAGTTGAGTCTTTTTCCTTTCGAAGGTCCTCACCGTAGTGCTGTGTTCTTTCTAACAATGGGTAATTGCCTTCCTGTGTTGTTCCGGATGAGCAGGAATGTGACGGGCCGCGACAACCCGGGACGGTAAGTTCTTTAGTTTTTTTCATGCATTAGTAACAGCCCCATTACAGTTTGAACGTTCCCTAGAGTAAGCAGCAGTGTGATTTATTCCGACAGGACCATTTCACGCAAGAAAATAACCCTTAGCTCAAGAATTTCCATCAGATGTTTTTGGTTTCTTGTTTTCTTACAGTTATGCGATAGAATGTTCAGTATTTGTAAGGAAAATCGGAAACGAGTTCATTATATCCATTCTTTTCTTCGATCAATATTTCTCAATATTTAGAACTGCATCACGTGACTCTACTGACAACACAACCGGCTTTAGTAATCCAATAATGCATCTACCTCATAGTGTACGTTTATTTTTATAATGAAAATCGTTTGCTTTATCTAGATGTTCTGTTTTCCTCTAACAGTTTGCCGCCTGATCGTGGCTGAGAGGTGTTCCTGAGTGTCGAGGTATACAGCGCGGGGATTCATCCTGCTGGGAAGGTCTCCCAAGCTGAGACGGAGTCCGGAATTTCTAACAGGAAGCCCAACTAAAAGTAAACGAATACTAGGATCCACCACCGTCCTGGTATCAAACTAGTCGCATGGTGGTAAATCTCCCTCTGATCGATAAAAGCGGTAACTGCCTGTGAACCGCTCAACCAGCGAAGACGGGTTGTCCAAGTAACCAAGTAGGTAGGAGGTTCTGTTTGCTTCCACATAGTTTATTTTGCGTATACACGTTGACAGAACTTTGGCCGTAAATACTTGTTTCGTTCTACAAACATTGAATAACGATGTGGTTTTCCGAAGTATTTCAGGTTACCTGTAGATCGCCTACATTCATCACTTTCGCCTATCGTTTTGTTACCTGTATGTGATATTTCACCACTCGTTCATTAGTTTTTGTATCTCTTGCGTTTTATCTCATAATTCACAAGCTAAACTTGTGGCCCGTGCGCTTCGTTTTATGCGAGATTCATGCAAGGCCTTTTGACGTCGACCGTCAGCGAATCCCGAAAGCCTTTTTTCTTGTCGAATTGCTTCAGTGATCGTCACTGTGAATAAATGCGCAACGTACGGCAAAAAACTATCATCGAAAGTTCTAGAGAAATGGATACTATCAGAAAATGATCATTAGACTCCCCTTAGACTCTGAGTTGGCAACGAATGCACTACAGCTGTGTTCTTCTTGAAAAATGCTTAAAGAGAACTGCCTTGTTGCGTCGAGCACTGGTTTCTCTTCCGCTACCAACTGAGTACTGGAAGTTTTCGCCTAATCCATGGAAATTTCCACTCTTCATTCAGTGTGCCACAGTGACGCAGCAGCTGGTGGAGCAAGATGTAGATATGTGATCGTTCTGTTGCCTGTTACGACCTTGTAAAAAAGGTGGTTGTGTACTCAGACCAGGCAACGAACTGTGATAGAATCCTGTTGTGTTGTGCTGGGATTACTGTTAATGATCAATCATCATTCCGCGTATGTACGCGGGACCATTCCAAAAAAGGTGTCCAGTACACACCGTCAACGAAAGCCACATTGATTAGTTGCGTTATGACTTAATTACTTGTTGATTAGTGTTGCAAGTGATTAATGCATAACAGTGAGTCATCCTCTCACTATCTTTTATTAAATTTGGTTCAATTTTGTGACAGCACGAAAAGATGATGTGCACGGACGATGAAATGGAATTTTTTTGGTGAACTGAATGCGAAGGGGCGTGAGTGACGTAGGAACATTCTCTAATCCCTTAATTGTTAAGTAACTCGAACGCCGCCAGTAAATTCCCTATATTCCTGTTGCCCACCAGGACAGATCAGCGAAATTTATTTTTTTTAAAGGGCTATGTAAACCATCACACTTTTGATAGGAATTGTTTTCTCACTACTTCTTGTCGAGAACGTGGCCATGATTAACCCGCCGTCCGTTGCCATGTTTTAAATTTAATCTCAGGTGTTTTACTGTGTGAAATCTCATTTATTCTACGGGTTGGTAACCCATTTGGAAAGTGAACTCAGCTGTATATCACAGGTAGAAATTCATCAGTTGCCCCACGACTAAGATAAGATTGTAGATCATTGGGGAAGGAAAGACGCGTACCCATGAATGCAGTTGAAAGGTCACAACGAGAAGTCGACTGAAACTTCAGTGAAACCTCTTCCGTAAAAGTAAAAGTGGAGAAAGTCTCCGTTGTTTTTCAATTTCGAGAGATTTTAACAAATGAGGCTACATTAAGAGTCCTTATGTAAATCAACTGTATGTGGCAAACGTCGCACGTCAGCGTGCTGCTGCCGATGAGAACAAGCTTCGTGAGGACGCTCAACGGCAGAGAGTGAAAAGGCTGTTGGAGCAAATCCCAGCCGACGAATTCCATTCAGATATGAGGAGTAGTGAGTGAGTCTGACATCGCGTTAAAATAAGGAGATATTTTTCGTTATAAAAAGTGAGTTGTAATAAATACTGGTAGGGTTTTAGTAGCTTCACTATGTAAAGTAGTAAATGATAGTGCCATAGTAACTGTAAGGTCTTTTATGATTAGCAAGTGTTTTTCGAAATGGTTTGTTAGATACTCCCCACGGTTTACCGCCTCATCGTGGCTAGGAGGTGTTCCTGAGTGTCGGGCTGCGATGTACAGCGGGGGATCCGTCTCTACTGTAGCGACTCTCGAGCTGAGAAGCAGTCCGACGTTTTTATCAGGAAGCCCAGCTAAGGGTAAACCAATGCCATGATCCGTCACCGTTCTGGTATCAAGCCTATCGCATCGTGGCAAATCTCCCTCTGATCCACGAGGGTGGCGGCTGCCTGCGGTGGTGACGACCTGGTACAGACTTTGGCCAAACTGACCTCGGGACTCCAGGGAAACACAATGCCTAAACCAGCAAAATTCTTAAAAGTTGAGAATATGTTGGGTTTGCACAACCAGTGAGGATAGACCGTCCAAATATCCAAGTAAGTAAATAGGTTTGTTAGGTACTAGTTGGTAAGGTTGAAGGTCATAGTGAGTAGAAAAAACTAGAAAATTCTAATTTTCTGTGCGCGAAATCTGATCTTCATTGAGAATAACAGCGGCTATATTGATCTCCTCAACTGACGTGTAGTCTTTTGAAGAGAAGCCATTATGGAATAGTGAACGTCTATTGCAGATGTGCCATATGTATGGTGGATTTCGAGTGTGGGGAGAAGGTTCGGTTTCTGCCATGTATGCACTCCTTCCATCAAACCTGTGTGGATGATTGGTTGATGAGGTAATACGGTTACACAGTTGAAGGACAGAAGCATTATCCTCTTGTGAACATCTCGTTTTCTTCATAACGTGATCCTCGAAATGTTTAGGTCTTTCACGTGTCCGTCCTGCCTCGAGCCAGTAGACTCGACGATTCTCTCTTCGCTTACTGCACATACACAGCAGTCTTTTCGGGACCTAGCTTGTTCTCCTGCAATTCATGGAAAACCTTTAAGCTGAGTTACTCCCTCACTTATTTTTTTCGCTTATTTGTATTGATGCAACCTGTTTTAGTGTTTTAAATGAAGGGATTTTCACTGGTGAACTTCTCATATTTAGCTCTATGTCTTAGTTCTTGTCTTCCGAAGTATGCCTAACCGTCTTATCTTATTTCGAAAATGGATTTCCCTTTAACCTCTGGATGCCTAATCAACATGTATTTCCTCATTGACAAAATAACACGTGGTTTATAAAGAATTTTATTCGGTGAACGTTCCAGCACCTTCGTTTTCTTTAGAGCCTGATTGATCGGAGTCCATTATTCATAGTTGTTCGTTCTTCCGATAAAGTCACGAAGGTTCACATTGGAAGAACGAGCAACTGTGGACAATCGATTAGGATCAATCCGGTTCTGATGAAGGCGAAGGCGTAGAAACGTTCGGTTCGCTGAACAAAGTTCTATATTGACCTTGTATTAGCTTGTTAATGAAAAAATACATGTTGTTTAATCGTTCCATACCTTGTACTTGCATGAAGCACGAGCTAAAGGATTATGTGAGCAGAACTTAAAGCGATGCCTGACTGCGTTAGTGGTAATGTATATATCGTTACCTTCATGTATGATTGTTTCTTTAGAATCGAACGTGTAGCACTTCCTTTTACTATGCATTCGTTTTTGTATATACTTGACCTTCTCATAATACACGTATTTCCACGAGATTTCCGGGTTAACGACAGATTTTGCAGCTTTTTCGTTGTATGGTTGTTTGTACTCTTTTTGTCGGTGTTCAAACATTGTAGTCGCTATTCACCCCGTATATGTATGCCTTTATCCTGTAAACGTTTTCTTCTGTGTATGAATTTAATCGAGGTGTGTTGATGACCGTTCACTGAATGTTGTGGATCGATTTGGAGGTATCTCGTAGTGTCTGAATGTTTATATACGTGTTTTGCACATGGAAATTTCTATAAGGTTTTGGTTTATTAAGACCAAAGTAGTCTGGATCACGAGAGTTTGAATGTAGTTATTGGTCAACGTCTTCCGCTTTTCCAGAACTTTATCAGACTTAATCCGGAAGTCGAATTCAGTTTAAATCGTTTGATTCTGAACGATGTGCAATTCGGTTAGTGATTGGTGACGATTAAACTGTCTTATTTTCATGGTGAACTGGTGAAGGACAGGATGGTGAAACCGACATAACAGCATTTTGGTTCTCCATACCTGTTTACCAGAAAAGAAAGCAGGGCTAGTTTTTTCATTTTTAAAATTGGCAAGCCTGTATTGCAGTGCGGTTCTCCTTAGTCGTAAGTATCTAAGTTTGCGCTCTCATCTGGCTAAAGTGGATATTGTTAAGGGATTCACGGCGGTGCAATCTCTTTTTTTGAGGTTTAGGGGATTTGCTTTGTTTCGAAATCTGACCGTCTAAGAGTGATCAGCCGATAAGCGCGTGGGATAGTACCACAGTTTTACTGAGTACTTACGGTATTGTGAAGCTGCTCATCTATGCGATATTTCCTGCAACGCGGGTCTTCTCATTGATCTACTGCTTAAGCTTTATTCAAGGATCTGCACAATCGCTAATCTAGTGATCGTAAACAGCTTTTATGTACACACAGCCAGCAAAGGTCGTGTCATCAGTGCTTTAGTTATGCTGCCTTATTCCAAACTGCTTTGTGTAGAAATCATAGATGAGAAGGTAGAGTCGGAAGTACTTTGTGTAGAATCGTACGAAGAGTCGAAACATGAGTTCCTTATGCATGAGCTACAAAATCCAATTCAAGAAGTCACACAGTCCATACATGCACTACAAATAATCGGATGCCGAATTCTAAGCTTGTCGGCATCAGTCTGCCATTGAGCTGGTAGTGAACTACTGGTTAAATTTTATACTGCTTTTTAACTTATTATTATTTAGTTAACTTATTAACCGTGTGGGCTGACGGTTGATTGCTGATGGCAAAAGATCGACAGAACTAGCTGAGGAACAGGCGAAACGAAGGACTCACATGGTGTGGTGATGGACGCGTTACTCCCCGGAAAGGGTAATAGCGCGTTCGTTCCCCACCGCAGACACCTGCGGTCGGTCCAGAGTTTTGCAAATGTCTCAGCATCATTGAAGTTATAATGCATTGTTTATGGAGTAAACCATTAAATTCATTGTGTCAGGATGAAAAATTGCGCGTTGCCGAGTTCTGTACGGATCTCTTTTTCTCACCTTGAAGGATGCTCGTACCCTGTTGGAGTAGGTAACGAAATATTCTGTGGTATCCCAGCCTTGAGAGCAACAGGAAACATAACATTATATGTCTATTGAGATGGACGACTGACAGATTTGAGCGATTATGCACGCACCTGCCCGCATCACCACGTCGATGACTGCAGGGATGACGGGAGCCGTGTCTGAACAAACCACCACTAGCGATTTTTGGTTCGAGCGTTTCAGCGAGAACGACAAGTGTTCCGACAGTTGTCCTTGATCTGGTCGGGCGGTTATGTTTGACAAGTAAGCTGCCTGGCGAGCCATAGCAGCACTCGTATATGACCACCTAGTACTTGAGAAGGTAGTCTAATTAAGCCGTATCACAATCGGCTTGCACCTAAATTCTAGAGATCACTTAAAATTATGCTAAAATATTTGCAAAACTCCGAATAGCCGGTGTCTGCGGCGGGGATCGAACACGTTATTTTCCTTTCCGGGTGTTAACGCGTTTAGCACCTCACCATGTGCATTCTTCTTTTCGTCTTTCTCTTTATCTACGGTGCCATCAGCAATCATCCTATAGGTCACTATAAAACAAGTTTTCGTTTGCTGCATCACACTATGATTGTCACTCACCTGAGAGAGTCAATATTTGTGATCCTCTGCTACTTTACCCGTACCTCATATTTACGAACTCATATCGCTATAAGAATAGTAAATGAAACTCTTTTCGATACTCTGGGACCCGAATGGCATGACCTTCTGGGGATGGTTGGATCAAGTTTAATACCTAAATTCAAAACCTACATACGACTAGTTCGGAAGGTCGTCGCAGTCGTGAATAAAAGTAGTCGAAACGGTTTGAAACCTGAATTTTTTATAACAACGTTCGACCTTACGTTGCAAATTGTTGACAGTATGGGAAGATGGAGTAACTGTGTTTATCAACAGACGACCCGGAAGACATCACCTGAGCGGCAGGTGCTCTGTCTAACACGTCAATATTTTTCCCTCATTCAAGCTCCACTCCAAAAGATTCGACCCGATGAAGACGAAGATCCAACATCGCAAAGACGACGATAATCAACTCGGATCGTTGCAACGCTGAGAAAGGTCAAGGCACGGAAACGTTAGGCGAATAAGAATTTTTCTTACCTATAAAGGGTAATAGCGAGTTCCATCCCCACCGCAGACACCTGCGGTCCGGAGCTTTGCAAATATCTTAGCACCATTGTGGTTGTATTCACATTGTACCCCGCCAAGAAAAGAAAAGAGTGGGCAGCAATTGAAAAGTGACTACTTTTTACTACTGCCGAAACGTCAGCTAGCGTTGTATTGTATTGTGTTTTTATGGAAGTAAATGTATGCTGTTTAAAAACCTCGCGATTGTTGAACAAGAAAACGACACATTCATATTCCAATGCCAAGGTTAAGAGAAAGTCGATCCTGGGAACTTTTTACTCTGTTTCGCGCTATCAGCGTCAACAGCTTTTCTATCCTTTATTGTCACTATAGATTTTCAAGCGCAGAACAAATGTATGAATGACTGACGAAAGAAAAATCGATACAGCTAAACATGGCGAACAAGGACATGGCAGAATTTGAGAACCCGATTGGAGACTTGAATTGTCATGAATAGTGGCATGTCATTCATAAACATCACGACAATTCTCCCTCTTACCGCGGACGTTGTTGCCATACCTGCAGGTTCCCTTGCAAAATTTGCCGACAACTTAGGTCTGTAGTAATTCCGCAATAAAAATTACCGCCTGAGAACAACGTCTAGCCTTCCGGAGATTCCACGAAGTACACGGCCTGGATATGTTTAAAGCTGTTAGGAATAAAACGGAAGCAAAACTCACTTTGTGCTAATCTTTGTTCACTGAAACAACCTACATCACAATGAAAAATGTCATGACGAGTGTTGAACGCAGATTAAAGATGTCTACTTTGTTTCAAAACCTAATCCTTTCAAGACCATGCGCAATGGCTTCAATATGTACGCTGCTTCACGTTTCGAACCGTACATCTTGATTTCAATTCGCATATCAAGTGCGCCTCAATGTCACTCTGTCTGGTGGGTCTGCAACGCGAAAGTGACTGCCGTCGTTAAAAGGTTGAACCATTATAATGTAAGAACCATGTAGTGCAAAGGATTGACCAAAACCGCTTCTCTTCCAATAATTCCGGGTAGATACATTATTTTTTGTTCACATTAAATCTTCACGACCCTTTGTATTCAGTCGATACAAATATTTGGACAGCCCGTTTTCACAAGGTTTATGGACCCTAGCAGACCTTTGTTTCTTTGCCTCACAACTGTCGTTAATGGCGATGGTTTGATTCCAGTATGGCAGTATGTGCGATTCACATACTGTGATGTACAAAACAACTACAGCTGCGAGTACGGCTGTTTTAATGTAATTACGAATACGTCCTCCTAACGTGTACAGGATGTTCTTTCCATTATATGACTGGCCCATATATGTTTCTCTATTGATGTATGTTGTCCTGGATCTCCAAAATGATCTAGACTTCGAAGATCAAAGTATTGCATTCCAGCAAGATGTTGTCTGTGGCAGCCATATTTCAGAAGACACTGTGAGACATTTCAGGCACTCTGTGAGTAATGCGCAGTATTCGTGACCTTGTTGAAGTATAAACCCAAGTCTCTGCTATGTAACAGAGCGCTGGCAGGACCGTTGAGTCGAAAAGGTGAGCGCAGAGTTCTGTATTCGTTAGTTGGCGGCTTCCTTGAGAGGCCCAAATGCGGTCCAAGCTGCTCTCCTTTTTCTTTCTAATTCCTTCTTCGTTTTGTTCTCCATCTTCGTTGAACGTCCTAGGTACGCGTACGAAATGGCCCGAGTAATCAGAAAAGAATCCAGTTCGATTTGTTCGCCTTCGCACCATGGGTATTTCATGATCTGGTCTTCGTCCTATTCACGAGCAGTCAATATGTACGCTGCTGCACTTTTTCTGATTTCGTCGACTTCATAGAGAATCGGCATAATACTGTTCTACTGGTACTCCTCGAATAGATGACAGTGTCGTCCGCAAAACAATGATTTCAAAGGAATTTTCCATGAATACGTACGTGTTTCCCGTTCCAGTCGGTGACTTGATTACCCACTGCAGTGTGGCAATAAACAGCTTTGCCGATATTGTGTTGCCTTGTCGAACCACTTTTCCTAAGCATATGTTCTGGATAATTTCGTCATAAAAGAAGCAATGCGCCATCGAAAACCTCAGAGTTAGTCGTCTATGTACTACACTTACTTACTTATACTTATGCACTACAACTCAGTGAGCTAGATGAGTAGCTTCCTGTTCCCCATTCGTTCCACTCCCTTGCGACCATCCCATAATCAGGTGATTGGTTCCATGTGAACACCAATACAACTGAATTTGGAATAGAATCCGACACGAACAATTTCTGAACGCCGTTAACGAGCTAGGAGGGCATATTGTCGAGCACTTCTTTTCTTACATCCATCGCTTCTTTGTAGACTTTGTAAGAGGAGATTTCTCGTCCATTTACTCCCTTCTTTTGTAATACGGTCGGCCTATTTGGTTTAAGCAAAGAACGAAAATTGGCTACCCTTGAAAGTTGGACTTTTCCTCTAGAATGGGCTTGTGTTAGAGACTAGGGACATCTCTCAAACACTCTTTGGACGGCGTATTCAGTTTTCAACATGCTTGAAGACTATTCGTAATCTCTGAGAGATGCGCCATGCATTCGACTTCATTAAGCATCGTTGGAGGTAATTGAATGCATATTTGGCCTTTACAATGACTCACGGTGGTCTACCGATGTATCGAGTCAGTGCTCCTATGCTTCCACACAAATCTGGTACCAATTTGCCGATCCCGGAGGGATGGAACGCTTGGTGAGCCATAGGTGCTGGGATAAATTCCACATGTGTGTTGCAGGGCGCCTCCGACTACCACGCTACACGCGCCCTCGTGGGCATATAGCGAAGTGAAGTTTTTACCAATTTCGGTCCACTTCGTCGTATTACTAAATTGGGGAACTCCCACCCCAATGATGAAAGGAGCCTTCTAGAATTTTGAATTACCATCAGTGGTGTTTATGATGATGATAAACTCGGATAGGTGCTTATCTTCTTCATACCATTTAAGTCAGTTGGTCTCGTTAAGTAGTTCTTCAGCATTAACCAGATGAGGTAATGGAGGCTCAAGTTGGTGCCGAAACCATGTGCGAGATCGAGCACCTTAGTGGATAATGACTGCAGGAAAGGAATAGAACCCCTTGGACTGAAAGCCATATGAAGACGAGTCATCTAAGCGTCTATGTTGCTATGTATGTTCAGGAAAAGGAGTCAATTGACACGACCTTCTTGGGTGTCAACTTTGCTTCTAACCATTTGATTAAAATCTGTCAGCTATACTAGGGCTATTTTTGCCGTTGAAAGGCGTATACTAGATTGATCACTTGAAAACAATTGTAGTTAAACAAGTAAGAGAATATATTTCCAAAAAATGGAATAACCGTACAAGAATCAACAGATCGCTTGATATTAACACAGTGATGGGACAACGTTCGTAATAGATATACCGATAGAAAAGCTCAAATGAATGAGAAACGACCGTCTGAAATAACAAACGTGAAGTTAAAACTTAATTTTTGCTACAGATGCCCCTAAGGAAGGTCAATAAATGTTAGATGAGTGCACAGAATAACGACGGAAATCATCTGATGATCAGATTATGCGCAATTCTCCTCGGCCTCAGACAAGCGATGCAGCTTGAGTTGCGGCAGAATTCGCCGACTTCCATTACACACTGAAGTGTTTGAAGTATTGTTGATTTTCAAAATCATATACTTACGTTCCTTATTAATTTATAGGTTAAATTAGCAGTTAACTTGAAGGAAGCGAAAGGTTGGTTGCAGATTCTCGGAGAATAATATCGTTAAAAATTAGTGATTATAAGTCGGCAAAAGAATGAGCTTTCCTTCACTACACCTTTTTCCTTCATGTCTTCCTCATTGATAAGCATCATTCCAGTGCTGCCAGACAATTCGTCTTCACCAGAAGATTCATCTGCTTGGCTACTTATCCTTAAAAATGGCTGTTCTCAGATCAAGGCAATGATGTGACGAAATAATAATAGAATATAACAGAAACTCTGCCGTACCAACAAAATTATCAACAAATCACGTCAAAAGGACACTTACTTTCGACATTGTTCTAGTACTACCAAAGCAGCTTGGCAAAATGCTGCTGAGAAATAAAATAATGAAAAAATGAAGGTCAGTTTTTAAAATACGGTCAAAGTCATGTCGACAGAGAGGTGCTTGATTGTAGATTTGAGCCTAGATTCAATTTTGGAGCTCAGTGTAATTAAAACTTTCAACGCATATCTCGAAGAGTTTGTCATAAAATATAATAAACCGTAAAAATGTAAACTACTACGACGTACTGCGATTCATTCTCGCTGGCTGGAGTGTTTTCAGGTAGACTGACTTTTTGGCCACGGGCGTGCTGTTTGAGAAGGAAACGGATACAGTCCTCGTGGTGAAATGTACGAGCGTCATCGAGAGGGGTTCGACCCCACCTGAATCGTGAGTTGGACTAAACCATGTTTGATATGCAGCGGTCTTAGCCTCTAGCCCACAGTCCCATTTTGAGTACCAGTACGTGTTTGCGCGCACCTGTCACGCGGCTGGTGATTGACTTTGGCAACGTTGACGAAGAACTTCACCAAGTGTAGATGACCTTCAGCTGATGCGATGTGCAGAGCCGTACGACCATCATAGTCCGCCATCTCAAGGTTGGTTCCTTGCAGATACATCCTGGACTGCACTTTATTTGACGGTATTTCGAAATTTATTATTAAAACAAACTCATGCATGCTTCTACCGAATATTGATTCGAATATTAACCCCTCTTTGATCTAGAGTTAAGTTTCTCTGGTATTTTAGTGATTAAAAGTCTGAAGAGTCGGAACAAAGAATATAATCGTAATAAGAAAAAATATGTCTAGAAATCCTAGGTCTAGAATTTCTTGGCTGTTATACGCAAATTTTGCTACAATCTGACAAATATTTCATTAATTTGAAGGGTATTATCTCTATTCGAAGGTATTTAAAGATCTTTAGGCCCTATATTGAAACTAGTCGCATTAGACGCAAAACTCTTACACAGAAATTGGAAGAGCCAAGAATTTCTCAAAGACGCAATGGAATTAAAAGAAAAATTAAGCATATGAAATTGGTAGAGTTTAAATTGGGTAACTAAGCAATGGATCTTCGATTAAGTTAGCTTCAAAAATATTCGAAAAGGAGACACTGCTGTTTCCTACGTCTCTTAGTGGAACGCCCCGGTAAGACAAAGGGCTCTCACTAGGATATTACCAGAACGGAATCCCGTGTGTTATGCGTTTTACTGGGAGCATTGAATATTATATAAGTACATCAAGCATTATGGATAGAAAACGTCAAATTGTGTGGTTTTTAAGAGGTCCACTTCCACTTGCCTTCGGATCAGATCGAAATCCCCATTTTTTGCTGCGAACAGAAGGAAAACTATCATCTCGGTGTCGCGGTTTCCGATCCGTCGGCGAGGATCGTGTTTCTTGGAATCGGCGTGCAACAGACTATCATAGTTGTGAAAGTTGAACGAGTCAATCAACTTCTAAACAGACGGATACTCTTTCCCTTTCTTAACTACTTCTGCTTCTGCTTTGTGCTTTCTCAATATATCGAGAGTGACGTGCCTGACAGAAAGCGACTCCTCGTGCTGAGTTTCCCATTTTATCGAGAGGTGGAGCAAAGAGAGCGATACCCATCACATTTGGCACCACCACAATCATCACTCCAGAGACTCCAGATTTCGCCGGCAGACCTACCTAAAACGTCATCACCACTATTACGTCTTCTTCAAAGAATCTTCATGAATAAATACTAGAAGGAAACGAATAATTTTGAAACCGACCGTCATTTAACCTCGATACTGTAGCAATAAACATTTGTTTATATTCCTAAGTCCGACTTTCTATTAACCTCGGCATTGATTGAATAATTCTTTCTACTTCCGTTCAGCAAACACGAGGTGTTACTTTATTTCCTTATTTAGGTACAAGCTGACGTTTCGGCGGATTTCACCTTCCTCAGAGCCTGGAAAGGTTAAGTTGACTACAATCTATGCGGCCAAACACCTCAATAACCAAACAGAAAATGCTGAACCAAAACTTCAATCACATTGAACACAAAGTCTGCACATTCACCGCTCTCTGTGAACCTTCCACTAAATATGTCACGTGGAAACCAACCGCACAGAGTTCACATGGAATCATATTGTGCCTATCTCATCAAAATAACATTTCTCCTTCCGGTTAATTTTCGGATTCTTGGAATTAATCCAGAATGCCTCCAGAGTTTTGTGCCCTTGTGTTCTCGATTCTTGCGCGAGGATCGTAACCTCTACTTCGAAATCTTCTCCGTTATGTCTCTGCGTCCTATGCGTGCCTAGTGAAGTATTTGGTTTACCTTTGCCGACTAAGTGTTCTTTTATACGTAGGCAGAGTGGTCTACCCGTCTCGCCAACGTATTCATCCCCGCACGCTTTACAAGAGATCAGATAGACTGTACCCGAACTCATGCAGTCACCGTCTCTACCATTGGGACAAATTATGCAATTATGTGTTGCACATAGACGGTTGTATAGACGGCTACGAACTAACTGGCGTCTTAGATTACTCGGTGGTATTTCAATTATCGTTAACGAATTCTCTAGACCGGCTCTTCTTAAAGAGTTTTATAGCTGCACTTACTTCATTTGAAATGAAGGGCAGTATAAACGGGACCTTATTGTCTCTAGAGTTATCGTTGGGGTAGTTGTGGTTTCCTCTACACCCCTCTCGAGCTACAATTTCGTAGCCATTAAAAATGGCTATTTGTCGAGCCAAGTTCTGGGACTCCTCTCTCTGCTCTCTTCCTGTGCACACGCTGGTAGATGTTCGAAACATGTTTTTCACAAGCGCCCTTTTCGTGTGATAGGGGTGAGAGGAGAGGTAATGAACCAGGATGTTTTTACTACTTGGCTTTCGATACCACTTCGTAATGTAGCCATATTCTGTTAGGTTAATTTGCACGTTCAGAAATGGAAGACAATTTTCTTTTGGTTTCTCTCGGGTGAATTTAATATACTCTGACTGTTCGTTCAACAACTCGAAACATCTGTCAGTTTCTTCTTGTGTTGAACAAATGCCCAAGCAGTCGTCTATATATCTGCAGTAGAGCAACAGCCCCAGATCGATTACTGGTGCTTCCACCTTGGACATGAATACAATAGCAAGACTTGGTGTCAGTCGTTGTCCCATTGCCAGCCCTCTCATTTGTGCATAATACCTCTCGGACCATCTGAAAATTGAGCAGTTTAGGCACTCCTTTAAGAGTGTCATCAACTGCTGAATCGAGAAGCCGTACATGTTTATTGCTCCTTCCTGTTGTATAAGGTGCTCGCAGATGGCTTGCATAGCGAAGTAATTCGACCGTTCGTATAGAGGGCAGTGACGTCGAAAGACTCCACCACGTACGCGCCGTTGGGTCGCGCGTTACGTAGACGATCCAGGAACATTTGGGTGTTCGTTAGATGGGCTGGAATGTACTTCAACAACTGAGTAAGTATTAGGGTTATTAACCACGTTATTCTATGGGTTGGCCCGTCCACGCAGCTAATGATAGGTCTAACCTTAAATAACAATGGATCGATAGACACGAGATCATCGCTGGATATTAACTTGTGGGTTTTGATAAGTAGGTACAGGACGGGACATGTTGGTAAGTCAATTTTGAGATGAGAGATAACTGATGGTCTTAACCCAGCCGCTCTTGCCACTTTAACCCATTCGTTGTTTAACTTTTGGTATTGACTTTTAAATTCCTTCTCAGACGACGGACGATAAAGGGAAGCATCTTCAAGGTGCTTTTCCGTTATCTCAACATCTAACTGATGGGGAATTACATATTTAGTGGAAGACTCACAGAGAGCGGTGAATGTGCAAAGACTCTGTGTTCGATGTGATTGAAATTTTGGTTCAGAATTTTCTGTTTAGTTATTGAGGTGTTTGGCCGTGTAAATCGTAGTCAACTTGACCATTCCAGGCCTTGAGGAAGGCGAAATCCGCCGAAACGTCAGCATGTACGTAAATAAAGAAATAAAGTTACACATTGTGTTTGCTGAATAGAAGTAGAAAGAATTTGTTTATATTGTTGAGCTTACACAAGGTTGATACGAGATGTGTATTCGGCTAATGTTTCGGCTTCTTCGTCTTTATCGGAGCCGACGATCCTCGTCGATGGTCGACAGTTGTTCCTCTACTCGAGTGCCGTATTCTTCTCGCATTGGACCGGATCTTCCTCAGTTGAGCATCTCGAATGAGCCGCCCTGTATAAAAGAGCGTCGCGATGGTCCACAGTTCTTCCTCGATTTGTCGTCTTCGTCTCGTGTCGACCCGGATCTTCCTCGGTTGAGCATGTCGAATGAGCCACCCTGTATAAAAGGGCGTCGCCTGGTGTATTCGGCTCATTCGAGATGCTCAACTGAGGAAGACCCGGTCCAATGCGAGAAGAATACGGCACTCGAGTAGAGGAACAACTGTCGACCATCGACGAGGATCGTCGGCTCCGATAAAGACGAAGAAGCCGAAACATTAGCCGAATACACATCTCGTATCAACCTTGTGTAAGCTCAACAATATAAACAAATGTTGACTAGAAGGAAATTTTAAAGAATTAGATTAGAAAAAATAACTATGATTAAAACGTGGTCAATTTTTTTATTTACTGCCTACTATTTTTTGATGGCAGGGTATAATGTGGAATATAACCATAATGATGCTGAGGTGTTTGCAAAACTCCGGACTGCTGGTGTCTGCAGTGGGGACCGAACACGCTGTTACCCTTTCCAGGAGTTAACGCGTTCACCACCACACCATGCGAGTTCTTCGTTTCGCCTTTCTCTCAGCAGTGTTATTGACCAGATAGCTGATATTGATAGTCCGGAGTTTTGCAAATACCTCAGCATCATTACTGTTATATTTCACATAGCACCTTGCCATTAAAAAATAGTAGGCAGTAAATAAAAAATTGACGATATTGTGATACATAGCACCGCTTCAGCTTAACTTGGTTCAATGCCGATTTGTGCTCCCCAGATCAATCCAGTTGACGAGTGATTACTGATTGCATCGATACGTCAGTAACACGGCTGAGAGAAAGGCGGAACGAAGGACTCGCATGGTGGAGTGGTGAACGCGTTAGCCCCCGGAAAGAGGAAGAAACAGCGTGTTCGGTCCCCACCGCAGACACCAGCAATCCGGAGTCATTATGGTTATATGATTAAAACGATATATATATATATATATATATATATATATATTATATATATATATATATATATAT